TCTCAGACAGTGGGGCCCAGGAATCTGTGCTTTACCAAGTTGTTCAAGTAATTCTTAGCACGCTCAAGTTTATAAAGCACTGTGTCAGGGTATATTATGAATGGAGTTAGACTGTCTGAGTTGGAATTGTTGCTCTGTCATTTAATAACTGTGATTTTGGGAGAGGGCATCCAGGTAGCTCAGTTGGTTAAGCATCTGGCTCTCAATCTTGGCTCAGATCATGATCTCATGGTTTGTGAGTTCAAGCCCCACACTCCATGCTGGCAGTGTGGAGCCTGATTGGGATTCTATCTCCCTTCTCTCTCTGCCCTGCTCTGCTCACACACGCTCTCTCTCTCTCTCAAAATGAATAAATAAACTTTAAAACCAACCAAACAAAAAATCACTGGTTTGGGGAAAGTTACATACCTCCTCCATGCCTCTGTTTCTTTTGCTGCTAGGCCAAAGTTTTCTTTGGGAAGACCAAACTTTTAGTAGATTGAAAGTGAATAGAAGTTAAGTAAAAGCTCAGTTAACACTATTACTACTACTGACATCATCGTCGCTGCTATTTAATTAATCTTACCATCTTCAGCATGTTGCTGGCTGATGGAATTACCCCTCTCCTGAGGTTGTTATGTACAGTAACGATTTCTTCTTGGACAGTTGCCAATTCAGTGAGGAGTGTGTTGTATGGAACTGGAGCTGGTTTTGCCTGTTACCAGAAAGCTATTAATTAGTGTCGCTTCTTCCATGTGCAATTCGTCTTATATAATATATCACTGGCAGACCTATAGCCGTATGAATTTGTGGTTTATATTGAATAAATCACGATCTACAGCATTTTAAAATTTACGATAGCTCAGGAGATTAGTTTCCATTTCTCCTGTGCTATTTCTGTGGGTTTCTGAATGTCATCTGACATTTTATAAGTCTATAGCATAATGCACTGAATGCTCTGTGATTCTTTTTCCCCCCCAGTTTATGATTGGTACTTTGGGGCATGTTAAAGCACTTTTTATCAGGCAATATGAATCACAGTGGAAGATATCTTGATTCCCTTCCTTGGCTCCTTCCCCACCCCATTTACTGTAAGTGTTTTCCTTGTTTCCCAAATAAACCACTTGCACTTGAATACAATCTTAAGGATGTGTCTAATCTAAGAGTTTCATTATTGAATACAAAGCCCCTACTATCTCCAATTCAGAGTCTATATTTTTATCTAATGCAAATGAAAAAAGCATTAATGTTTACATCTGTATGTGTACATATAAAGTAGAATGCAAATCAGCTACAATCTAGAATTCCTGACTGTTCTTTTAAGCTGTTTACCTTTTATCCTTCAACTAACAAGAAAACTAAATGACATTAATATTTTGTGTTAGCATTTGGGGAACCTGGGTGGCTTAATCCGTTAAGCATCTGGCTCTTGATTGAAGCTCGGGTCATGATCCTCTCACAGTTTGTGGAATCGAGGACTACGTCTGGCTCTGTGCTGACAGCATGGAGCCTGTTTGGGATCCTCTCTCTCCCTCTCTCTCTGCTGCTACCCCACTCACACACTGTCTCTCTCAAAATAAATGAATAAACATGTTTTAAAAATTAAAAAAATATTTTAGGTTAGCATTAATTGCTATAAAAAGCAGCTTCATTCGTGTGTATGTTATGTATCACATTTACTCATGCCTTTTACTAAAAAAAGTGGCAAAATCTAGGTAGTATAATTTGAGTAGTATCTATTTACTCCTCAGCTACCACAGGGCTATCAGCAGAGTTTCTGAATGGATGAGATCCAACACCATACCTTATTCAAATAGAGTAGTTATTGTCATTTACTTTATGCCAACATAAAATGGTACGGGGGAAAGGCAAAAATATGAAATCCAGAGGACCCCTCTAGAGACTGTCCCCTGTGAACATCATTTTCAAAAACACATTCATGTGATGCTATTTTCCTTTATACTCCAGGTAGCTCTAGTCTAGACTACAGGAAAGGGGGGGAACCCACCAGAATCCCTTTACCATTTCCAAGACATAACTTCCCTTGCTCCTCTGAACTCTGCTCCACTGAAACTCATGACATATTGCTCTACCCTCTCATCACTGACCGTTTACTCTCCTATGACAGTTTCCCTATTACTTCCTCTCATTCACAGAAATTGGGTCTCCTGAAACAAATTCATCCTGTCCACCCATTTCTTCAGTCAACTCAAGGACTGCCGCATTCACATGGATGACTCCAGCCACCTGATATCTCAGGCCCCTTGAATTCTCCCTCTCTTAGATGGTTCCTCCAAGTGTCTTTAGTCTCCACCATGATGATCACAGTCTATATCTCATAATCACTGCCAAGTGCCATACCTCCCAAATCCCCTGGGCAAACTTTTCCCTGCCTCATCAGTTCCTGCTCTCCCAAGTTGCCAAGGTCAATCACTCTTTTCAACATATTCTAGCCTTCTAGCTCATCATTTTCTCCATGTCCCCACTCTTGAATTTTCTTTCTTTTCTATTCATGTACTCTTATTTCAACAACTCTCTTGCTAAAATATCGAATCTTTTCCCTGCCCATCATTATTTAGGAACACCCCCACTTTGGATGGGACCAAAAATTTCTTTGCCTGCATGGAGTCAGATGAGCATTGTCAGAAAAATATCCCACAAAATGACAGATATTGGTGTCATCCCAAATCAGGATTTCTAATCTCAAATTGCTCGTTAATTTTTCTCATTAATTCTATTAATTTACCATGTTAACTCACTTTGTCTTTTTCCACAATGTTATTGTAGAACTTGTGCACTCTACCTCAGTAACATTTACTTCTCTCAGCAGATTGTGATATGTGCTAGTTTCCTCAGTAAAGAGACAATATCTGATGATAGCTGTTTTAGGTTTTCTTGGCCAGTCTACCAATCTGCCTATATCTGTTCTCATTCTTTCCCCCTTACCTTTTGTGGTACTACTGAACAGGTCATACTTTGTTGTTGTTGTTGTTGTTGTTGTTGTTGTTGTTTGCTGTTGTTGTTGTTTTTAAACTATTTTATTGAGGTATAATTGACATGTGAAAGCTATACATGTTTAATGTATACAATTCAAGGAGTTTGGGTAAGTATACACTTGTGAAACCATCAAGACCATAAACAAACAAACAAACAAACAAACAAAAACAAAAGACCATACATAACAATCACCTCTCAAAGATTCTCCCTGCCCCCTTTATTATAACTATTGTTATTATTTTGTCTATATTGTAAAAACATGTAACTTAAGACTTACCCTCCTGGCAAATTTAAAACTGGATATCCACATGCAAAAGAATGAAATTAGATCCTTATACCATAGATAAAAATCAACTCAAAATGGATTAAAGACTTAAATGTAAGACCTGAAATCAGAAAACTCCTAGAAGAAAACATAAGTATAAAGTTCCTTGACATTTGTCTTGGCAAGCACAGACAATAAAAGTAAAAATAAACAAGTGGGATTATATCAAACTAAAAAGCTTCTGCACAGCAAGAATTGTTTCCTTAACAATCAACAAAATGAAAAGACAATTTAATGAATGGGAGAAAATATTTTAAGCTATATACCTGATAAGGGGTTAATATCCAAAATATATAAAAACTCATATAACCCAATAGCAAAAAAACAAACAAACAAACAAATAACCTGATTAAAAAGATACACAAAGGACCTAAACAGACATTTTTCCAAAAAAGACATATAAATGGTCAACGGGGTATATGAAAATGTACTTAACCTCATTGATCATCAGGGAAATAAAGGTGAAAACCACAATAAGATATCACCTCAGCTATTAGGTGCACTATTGTTAAAAAACAAGATTTCAAATGTTGCAAGGATGTGGAGAAAATGGAATCCTGATACACTGTTGGTGGAAATGTAAAATGGTAGAGCCATTATGGAAAATAGTATAACAGTTCCTCAAAAAATGAAAAAAAAAAAGTCATTCTTTCAATAGCTTTGTCCCCAGTGTTATTTACCCTATTCTCTTCCACATTTTCCCAAATTTCACATTACTCATTATCTTCCAGTATATCTTCTACCATTCTTTTGTCTTGGTCCTTCCCACTGGCATTTACTCATAATCATGTTGCTGGTAACTTAAACAAACAAAACTTTGCATTTATTCCACTTCCCCACTCAATCACTGTACTTTCTACTTTCCTTCCCTATCACAATTTCTGAAAATGTTGCCCATACTGGCTGTCTGTAATTTCCCACCCTCCAGTAATATAGTCTGCATTCACCCTTCCCCCACTTATTCCAGTAAAACAAAAGTTCTATAGTAGGAGTAATATACCCCGTCTCAAGCCCCTCTTCTTTTCCCTGGAATTAAACAATGTCTGGAGAAATTTCTGGTTGTCATGACTGGGTTGGGGCGAGTACTCTGCCATTTTGTAGATACAAGTCAGTGATTTTGCTAAACATCCTGAAAGTTTCAGGACAGACTCCCCTGACAAAAAATTATTCCATACAAAATGCCAGTAGTTCTGAAGTTGAGATATTTTGTTTTGAAACAGCTCCTATTAAGGTCACAACATGCTTAATTTGTAAGTTCAATATTCTTGTAATGTCTTCATTCTACTCGATCTATTGGCTGCTAACTCCTCTGACTAAGCTCTCAGTATAGAAATAGTCTTTCTCTCCATGTAAGGGACAACACATTCTCTTCATTTTTTCTCCTACCTCTCAGATTTCTCTTTCCTCACCTGGACTGACTATGGCTATAGCCTGACCTCTTACTGGCCTCCCAGCCTTCAAATACATACCAACCCCCCCCCCCCCACACTCTCCTTCCAACCCCTCTATCCAGTCTTCCACAATCCATTCTGCAGGAATCTACCAGAGTAAATATTTTACAACACTGACACAATGGGTCTCTTTCCTGTTAAGTCTTTCAACAATTTCTTAGAAAAACTAAATCTTTTATAAGGTCTATGAAGATCTTGCTGACTTCTCAGCCTCTACTTAAGACATGCTCCCCTACTTTTATCTGCTTTTGTCTCAGTGATTTTCTTTTAATTATTGTAATGTGCCAGCTTCTGTTCTGCCTCAGAGTATTAGTCCAAGCCTGTCACTTTGTTAGTATCCTCTTTTGGCTTGCTCTACTAGGTGATGACAATTAACCCTTCAGATCTCAGGTCTACCACCACCTCATTCCAAGAGAAGTCTCTAATTACCTCAGACAAGATCAGATCTCCTTATTACCTGATCACGATTTCCTGTACTTTTCCTACAAAGATCTTTTTGTGTAACATCTACTAGATTCTCACAGAAAACTATATCTCAGTAAAAAGTGATTTTTGTCCAAGTAGATGCCTACTATCTCAGTAAACTCTAACATTGAAGGGGAGTTTAAAATAAGATTCAAGCCTGGTAGTCTATTTGGTCTCTACTTGGAGTCTAAAAAGGGAATATATCATACTGTTTATTTTCATTGGACAAAGAGGAACAGTTTGTTTTTTACTTCAGCTAGGCTTAATGTTTAAATTTTATGTAATGAATTTGTGTTTGGGGCTTAATTTGTTTTATGGTTTTTTTTTTCCTTTAAAATTCTTAAGCCTTGGAACACCTGGGTTGCTCAGTCCATTAAGCATCCTAGTCTTGATTTTGACTCAGGTCATGATCTCACAGTTTATGAGTTTGAGCCCCAAGTCAGGCTCCTCACTCTCTGAATGGAACTTGCTTGGGATTCTGTCTCTCCCTCTCTCTGTGTCCCTTCCCTGCTCTCTCTTTCTGTCAATATAAATAAATAAACTTTAAAAAATTCTTAATTTTTTAATTTTGCCTTAGTTTTCTGAGCAAATTTTCTGTAAAATTACATGCAAATATTCCAATAATTATCTTTCTATAGAATGTATACATGTTGTTTTATCAATGCCTTCAACCCTTTCATATTTTTCCTTTTTATTGTTGGTCAGTAAATGGACTAGGCTCTGGTTGCCTTGACGGGAAAGGGTTCTACTTACCTGCTTTTTGATCTGGGCTTTTAACTTTGATACTGATTCCTTCTTTCACATGGCAGCCTGAGCCAGGCAGTCTCCTAGAACGTGAGCTAAATGACCTAGTGACCTAGACTAAACCAACCCAGACTATGCTTTAAAGGCAAAGGTAGTGTTCTTGCTGCCTTTCTTCTTTCCCTCTGATGGAGGCTATGTTTAGGTTTTCCTTACTTTGAAGTGTGAATATTCCCCCTTCATACTGTGGAAGTAAAATGGGAAGATAATCAAAGAGAAGGAAGGAGAACTCTTCTTTAAGACTCTACTTCCAACTTACTAGAGCATTATTGAGTATTAGACAAGAGGTCTACCTGGTTTCTCTTTGTGGAAGAGGTGTGAATAATAAGACCCAAATCAGCACCCCAATGGTCTGATGTATATAGATTTTTTTTCATTTATAAAATTAGATGCCTTCCAATCTTGACTTCTCTGAGCTAGCCCATGAAATCATAGAAATCACTCATATGTGTGCTCATCATAAAAATATTTTGGATATGTTAAAAAATGTAATTTTTAAAATATCATTGAGGCTATATAGAGATACATATTATTGGGTGATCATAAAATCCTAAGGCCCTATACCTTATACCATTGAATGTTTTGTTTTTATTTTGTAATATTGAAGTTATTGCCTTTAATAAGTAGTAGGATGCAGACCTCATATATTGACTCCATTGCTTACAGTTCCTCACACTTCTCTTCTTGCTGTTCACACCTTTCATTTTATATTTAATTTTGATATATTTAATTCTTGTTATAGTCACAAATCAAATAGTTCAATCGGGATATGGAAATACTTACTTTTTCTGGGTTAAACAAAATCCAAACAATTTTTTTTCCCATTTAGTCATAGAAAATGCATGGATTGACTATATGCTCTACATTCTCAGCTTTTTTAATCATCCAGAGGGGCTGTAAATGAAATTGGCATGAGCCCACGGAGCTAAACTGGTTAGGTTTACTTTCAAGCTCTGCCACTTGCCAGTATTCTGACAATGGCCACATGACTTCACCTCCCTATGCTTTGGTTCTTTTCCCTGCAATACGAAATTAAGAGTGGTACTTGCATGCTAGAGTCTATGGTGAGACAGAGGTGAGTAAAGGGCATAGCATCCACACAACAATGTCTATAATGAAATGAGTTCTACAGGAGGAGATCTTATCCTTTCCTGGAAAGTAATTATGAAACATATAATCCTCACACACTCTTACAATCAAAATAGTCAGGAAACCAGCAGTGGCAGCCAAATACAAGAAGTGTTTCATTGTCATGCCTGAAAAGAAAACATAAATTTAGGTTATTGTCAACTCCGAGAATAATGTGTTATAATAAAGCTTTTTTCAAACCACTTCTGCAGTACATTTGCATTTTCTGCAAAAAGAGTCCTGTAGGATCAGAACAAAATTGAATATGTTAGTCAGTGGAACCAACAGAGGAGAACAGAACTGTGATTTGAAGCATGGTAGATTTCATGTCTTAATCCCCTGAACCTTTGAATATGTTACATTACATGACAAAAGAGAATTAAGGTAGCAGATGGAATCCAAACTGCTAATCAGCTGACTTTAAAGTAAGGAGATTATCCTGGACTATCCGTGTGAGCTCATAAGGGTACTAAATGTGGAAGAGGGAATCAATGTCAGTGATGGATCGTGAGAAAGACTGGACCCACCCATTGCTAACTTTGAAGAAAGAAGAGACCATGAGCTAAAGAATGTGGGCATTCTCTGGAAGTAAGAAAAGGCAAGGAAATGGATTCTCCCCTGGTGCTTCCTCCTTGAGTCTTGATTTAGCCTGCCCAGTGAGACCCATTTGGACTTTTGACATCTAGAACTGTAAGATAATAAATTTGCATTGTCTTGAGACACTAAGTTTATAATAATTTGTTACAGTAGCAACAGGAAAATGATATAAAAACACAACAGGATTATATTTGAATTGTCTATTACCCACAGAGAAGAGATGTGATCATAATACTGGTAATTTATATGCATGACTTACAAATATTCTGTGTATATGATCACTCTGCTGAGAATGATCAGGAAAATCAGAGCTAATATACTCTTTCCTTTATTTCTGTTTGATAAGGTAGTTGACTCTAGGTTATTAAATTTAGCAAATGTACGTTATTAAATTTGGTTAACACCTTCTTTTAATAATCTGCCAACCTTATTTCTGAATCAGTCCTGCTGGGTTGAAAGCAGAAAAGGCTAACAGTTCTCATTTTAAACAAAACTTTCAAAGAACAGGTTAAATGATTTGTGCAGAATTATACACATGATAATGATTGGCCATTGCTTTCAACCTTCCCCCACCCACTGCCAAACATGATATGAGGGGAATTCTGTAAATAATCTTTTACATAATCTTTAAAAACTCCAGTAAAACATATTCCCCCTGAGTTAACTGAAGAAAAAATAAAATAAAAGGAGTTTCTGCAGTATAATAAGTTGATATATATACATTAATATATGTATACATTAATATATATACATTTTATGCATTAATATTTGTACCCACCACACTGAGGTGTTATTATTCCAGTTGGTCCCCATTATGAAGCTGTCTATAACTTCTGTTGTTGCATTTTCTGAGGAGAATTTTGGGGTGGGGGTGTGTATGCTCATTATCTTAATTGCTATGATGTTTGCTTGAGTACACACTAAGACGTACCTTAATTATACCACAAAAACACTGTTATAAAAGGTTTAAGAAATTAAAAAAAAATATCTGGTTCACACCAGTCAAACAACTTGTTTGTTTTGAGGCCATTTACATTTAGTCTTTCAAGTATTATTTTCCTTATATACAAATTTAGTACTTAGATTTCCTCGTAAACAAATAATTTGTATAAAATATTGTATCTTATTTTTCCCAGAATTTCAATTTATATATTTATTATTATTATTATTATTATTATTATTATTACTTATGTATATTTTAACATAAGCACCAAGCCATTTTTAGGATTTTTTTTCATGAGTAACCATTGGATTTGTGCTCCAAAATTGAAATCAATTGAAATCTTTGGAATTTTTTTTAAGATGACATAAATCTAATTTTATTTCTAAGTGTACCTGATATATAATAGTGTTTAATAAATATTTAATAAATGAATTAATTTTTGTACAGGTGAAAAATTGGCTAATTCAGACACACATGCCCATGCAGACACACACATACACACACACATACACACACACACACACACACGTGTGTGCATAATCTGTCAGTTCACTATACTGAGATACAATAAAACTCATACTGATCCTGGAGTTAAAATACTAGCATTTTATCCTAGGCTCTCCTATTATCTATGATGCTGGCAAATACACAAGTTCTGTTAAAATCAACTTCCTTTTGTTTAGAATGAAGTCCAATATGCCAGAGATACAGATGGCATATCACGGCTATGTAACACAACCAGTTCTTTAGAATTTAATTACTTTTTTTTTTTTTCAGAATGCTGCAATCTGCTTAATGGGCTTCATAATCCAAGTTTAAAAGCATATCATATTTTGTAAATGGCTTCTAATTAATTCTGATAAAAGGCCTTTGAAAACATACAGCATTACCCATATTATTGTAAATGTATAAATACAACCTGGATATTTTACATACAAATATAATATATTTCTTCTGTCATAAATGGGTGAAAAAACCATTGTTCTATGATATAAGATGCATAAGGAATTTGATACAATATTGTGTAGTGATGATTTAAAGCCAGGATTTGTAACCCACGCAAGAATTGAAAGCAATCACAAGATAACTATTGTGACTCCTGAGAGTGATCACGGGACAATTAGTGTCAATGGGGATTATCGTTATTTTAGCATTTTTGGCTCCTTCAAAGAGCTTTGGTTTTTTTTCATTAGCATATAATTTATTAATAACTAGCTACAGCTCCTTGGTGACTCTGTGTTGAAAATCTTTTATTTATTTATTGAGGTATAATTGACATATAATATTTTATTGGTTTCAAGTGTACAACATAGTGATTTGACAGTTGTATACATTGTAAAATGATCACTACAATAAGTCTAGTTACCATCTGTCATCTTACCAAGTTAACACAATATTATTAAGTATATTCTCTATGCTTTATTCCCTAGGAATTATTTATTTTATAGCTGGAAATTTGTACTGATTAATCCTTTCACTCATTTCACCCTCCCAACCTGCCCCTCACCACCTTCCTCCTGGAAACCACTTATCTGTTCTCTGTGTCTGTGACTCTAGGGTTTGTTTTTTAGATTTGACCTAAAAGTGAAATAATGTGGTATTTGTCCTTTTTTGTCTGACTAAGTTTACTTGGCATAGTTAAGGGCAAACTCAAAGTTAAGGACAACTAAACTGGAGAGTAATGCTAAAATAGAACCCTCAGATCTTGGACCCCAAGTTTTGGCTTGAGATTTACGAATAGGTAAAATGTGCACACTCAATTCTTCAGAGAACAGAGGCTACAAGGAAAAAAGGAGGATACCTTTGTTTATTGAAGAGTCAAATATGCACTTGGAGCAACTGAATCAAAACATGAAGGTAAAGGTTAATAATCAGACATTGGTAATATATTAAGCATTTTTTAATAAGGATTGAATCCAGGTAATTATGAAACTATATCTGTTAGCCAAGAATTATTATGAAGTACAGATTTTGGGGCCTGGGTTAGACCTCAGAGATAGAGTTCAAGGGTCAGTCTAAAGGGTTGGAAACAGCAGACAATAGGCAGAGATTTGGGCAAACAGGGAATCCTGCAAAAGTTATCCCACACAAAGGTGAAGACATAGAGGTTAGAATTGGAGAGCATGACTCAAAGGTCGAGTAGTGGTTGTAGGGGTGGAGAAATAAGTGAGTCCAGGGTGAGAGGGTCTGGGGACCCAGACTGAGGCATATTCACTAGAGAATTAGATCAGATTGATGGCTGGGCCTGGATCAGTGCTAAACTCCAGAATGGTCTAAATGATTCCCCATTGCCTGGATAGCTGCAAACCTCAGGACCAAGTAGGTCATGTTAACCAAGGAATTATAGTTACACATACCCAAGGAAGTGCACCTTTTCTGAACAGAACTATTATGGAAGCTGCAGAAATATTACCTCACTGATTTCAGTATCAAAACCTACTTAACACAATTATTTTATATGCAATAGATAATTTTAAGCCAAAACTCTTAAAATATTTTTAGATAATAATACCAGAAAATTGATATACTGATTATTTAAATTATTTTTCTTATATTTAAGTTTTCCTAGCAGAAAATGAGCAGAATGTGGATATTTGCAAGTTAATATTTAGTAGAAGGAAAAGGCTGAGAATTGATTACTGCCCTCTAGCAAGCCCTTGGGAATATATTCTCACATATTAACTTGGCTAGACCATGACTTTCCCAGAAAGCATTTACACAAAGAGGCCCTTCCTTTCCTGAACCAAAGATGTAGGGAGAATAAGCTCTGTAAAGGAACATATCATCAATCTTTTTTTCTTTGCCTCTGTGAATTTGTCAATTAAAAAAAAATTACTAAGGTAAAAATTACATTTTGTAAAGTACATAAATTTTAAGTATACAGACTGATAAATTTGTAAATATGTACATACCTGTGTAACCACAACCCAAATCAATAAGTATAGTAGTTTTAGCATTATTGGATGTAGAGCATCCTTTATTCCCCCTTTCAGTCAGTAAGTCCCAAGAGTAAAAACCATTCTGATTTCCAGAGCTGTGGGTTAATTTTATTAGTTTGAAAATTCATATAGGTAGAATATATATTTTTAGTGTTTAACCTCTTCCCCTTAATAGGCCTATGAGACTGATTCATGTTGCATGCAAAGCTTATTTTTGTTAATAGCTGTGTAGTATTCTACTGTATGCAGACAATATAATTTATTTATCCATTCTATTATTAATGAACATTTCATGTATTTTCAGTTTAAATCTATTATGAATAAAACTTATATAAACATTTTGTCCATGGGTCTTTTGGTACATATTAGTATTCACTTTTTGGGAGGCAGATATATACCCAAGAATGAAATTATTGGGTTATATGGTATACATATGTTTTCTTTTAGTAGGTACTATCAAAGAATTTTCCAAAGGAGTTCTAGAAGTTAATACTTTTATACTTCCATCAACTTTACATCCTCACTCATACTTGGTCGTCTCAGCTTTTTTTTTTTAAATGATCTATTATGTTTTGTAATAGTATTTATCACAGTTTTTAATTTGTATTTGTCTAATTGCTAATGATATTGAACATATTTTTGTATGT